GGCAATACTACCCCCCCTCACCCCCCAAACATGGGCTTACATCTCCTTTAGAATTAGGAGTATCCTTACCAGTGGTTTTAAAATGTGATCAACTATTAAGTGTTGCTTTAATGTAGGCAACTTGCAGAATTTTGTTGTTTTCTACAAAACCTGGTCCAGTACCTGAGGATGCTAGTCATTTATTAGCCTCATTAGTGCCAATGAATTATTCTTTTTGTCTCAAGATTTTGGAATTAATCTAGAACAGTGTTTTTCACCCTTTCTAGAATTGGCAGCCCTTTATTCAAAGTCCAATATTTTTGTGGACCCCTCACATTTACTGTACAAGTTAAAGATGTACAAATAATGATAAGCCTGTACAATTAATCTGTGTGCATGTTTCGAAAGGTTGACAGAAAGTACTTGATCTTGAAGGGTCAGTGCATGAGGGGAGAGGGGAAACAAAATTTTGTTTGCTTTAAATAACACAATTTTCAATGTCTCATGACCCCCTCAATTGCCTTTTGTGACCCCCTTGGGGGTCATGATCCATCAGTTGAGAAACACTAATCTAGAAGCATAGGACCAAGTAGAATTAACCAACTTCATTGCTCCTTATTTTTGAGACAATAAAGCAATTAAGACCAAAAAAAACAACAAAGGGATAGTGATATCTCTAACACTGCAGTTAATACTTGTTAATACAGTTAATTCTTGATTTTAAAAACTTAACTCTCAGGTTCAAGGAGTGTAAGAGGTTTGCAGTTTTGATCAGTTGAGGCCAGCAGGTCCAGTCAACAATGATGATGCAGGATCAGATCAGAGTTTACATAGTTTTTGTACTGGTGTCAAGTATCAGGGGGGTAGCCATGTTAGTCTGTAGCCACAAAAACAACAAGGAGTCCGGTGGCACCTTAAAAGACTAACAGATTTATTTGGGCATAAGCTTTCGTGGGTAAAAAACCTCACTTCTTCAGATGCATGGAGTGAAAGTTACAGATGCAGGCATTATGTGTCATTATATAATGCCTGCATCTATAACTTTCACTCCATGCATCTGAAGAAGTGAGGTTTTTTACCCACAAAAGCTTATGCCCAAATAAATTTGTTAGTCTTTTAAGGTGCCACTGGACTCCTTGTAGTTTTTGTACTGTTTACCTATATTGGCTTGAAACCAGCGTAAACACACGCCCCCCCCCTTCCCCTCCCAGGAGAGATGCAATTATACCAGTATACGTACCCTTACACTGATGTAGCTTATTCCTGTAAATTTAGGGAAATAAGCTAAAGTAGCATAAGACTTTTATACCTGTACAGTTATCCACACAGAGTTGTACAGATTTAATCAATTTCAGTTACAAAACAAATCACACCCTGCCCAACTGAACTAGTTACATCAGTACTAAACCTGAACAGACATGAAGACTTAGTTTGTGAGGAGTTAAGAACCCATGACTCTCCTTGAGGTCAAGAGGAATTGGTTCTCAACACCCCAGAGAAGTGAGCAGTTTGGACCCAATCCTGTAAGGCCTTGTACACCTCAATTTTCAAAAAATTTCCTCTGGTGTTTAACAGTGAAAGCACCAATGTAGACTGGATGCTGGTATTTTTTAACTACTGTGTCACCCAGACCTACTCTGAGCAGGTAAAGAAGCTCAAGTTCTGTCTACAGTCACTGGCATAGTTAGTGTTGTTGAATTACAAATTGCCAGTGGGGAGACAGCTATACAGGATGTTAGAGCTGAACATTTTTTCTTGCAGTGTTTAGAGTGGAACCACTGAGCATGCTTTCCTCCACAAATCAAAGCAACTCTAAGGACAAGGTGGGCTGGAGGTTTGGGGGTTTTAGTCTATTTTGCAATAATAGGTCTCATTAGGAGAAATAACTATAGTCTAATGTAAACAGATGGCTGGCACTTCAAACAAAGGCGTTTAGAAAGCACAAGTACTGTATGTGCAACACCGTACACTTAAAATCCTGTTTATAGATGCAGTCTAATTTGTAGTGCATGTACACACTAAGCAGAACCCAGAAATCACCCCCTAGAAGTCAGGAGTTCCTCAACTTCCTCTGAAGAAAAGATAAAAATGAACCTAGAGCAACCCTGCTCTTTGGACTGAACTCCCCTTTTCTCTAGTTGAAAACTGAGAATCCAAGTCTAAACACTCATAATAAGCAACCTGGAAACATCTACACAAAAAGTTTATTCGTTTCAGAAAAGACAGCAAGAACAAGAGGAAAAGAACCCAAACCCTTCCCTAAAAGAATCTGAATTCACCAACCATCTAGAATTTGTGGTCAAGACTGCAGGTTACTCTACTCCTATATTTTTATTCAAATACAGACTACAACAATACAAAAAATACAAAGGTGTATTTAATTAAACATTCAGCAGATCAGCCCCACCTTTTATATTCTTTAGCTGACTGACTGCAAGATCTCTTTCAACCTCTCCTGACTGAGGCATCCAACAGGGGCTAGAACTAGGGCAGAGACTCATTCCTTTGCTTAAGAAAGCCTCAGATAGTTCAAATATTGTTAGAGTTACAGAATAAAAATGTTTACAACAGTTCTACTTCACTCCCCATGCAGAAGAGCTATTAAGAACTACAGCACAGTTACTTAAGAACTAGAGACACAGCAATATTAACCTTCCTCAAGCCCTTCCTCATCACTTCAGACTCTCCTCAAATAAGAGCTAGATAGTACTTCTGTATTGCTTCCACATTGTCATTTTGGGATGTTATAATTTATCAAGGATTGCAGAACTCCCCTCCCTAAGAGCATTAGATCTAGTTGCCAAGTCAAGAAAGTAATGCTGATAAACGTGCATACCAAACTCCCAGGTAGCTGTGCAGATTTCTACAGTGGATACAATACAGAAACAGGCCATCAGTGCTACCCAAGCCCCAGGTAAGAATAAGGTTTTAAAAAAAAAAAAAAAAAAAAAGACAGGAGATTAAAGGATTCTGATGGAACTCAGACAACATTTTGGTGTACTTTACTAGCCATAGCATTTTGGTGCGTGGCTGCCCATTTCACCATGCATGTGTATGGTGCACTATGGTTGACTAGCAAGAGGGAAGTTTTACCTCCTTAAAAGACAGTATACACTTCACACTGAGACATTCTAAGACTGAGGAAAAGGTTTCTGTTGGAAGGAGTTTAAATCATTAACACTTTTTTGATAATGCTTAACATATTTACAGTGAACTCTCCAATAACCAGGAAATCATCAGTGGCCTCAGAATTTAACCCATAGCAGGCCATAAATGAGAGCCCAAACTCAACTAGAGTTCAGAAACTGGAACAGAAGTAATGCAGCCTTGGAAAATTGTGCAATTACCAGCCCATCCTTTAGTAAGGTGGATTGATAAGTGAATAATATATTCTGAATTAGCCAAAAAAATATTTGTCCTAGATCAGAGGAAAAGTAGAATTTTGCAAGGCTGGAATAATGCATGACACATACTTTGCATTACAGGCTTTTATATACATGGGCTTCTTTTGATTTCCATATTCTGTTATCAAAAAGTTCACGATCTACTTATAAGCCAATAGAAGAAATATTTTTAATCACTGAAACCAAACTGCATGTTAACCAAAAAGAAGAAAATAATGGATTAATAATACGAATTTATGTTCATGTTAATCTATGCTCTATTAGGCACCTGAAGTCTCCAAGGCTTAATTTACAGCTACTAAATTTAATACACAGAGGGAACATATCTCCCTCCTTCCAGTTTTCATATTATACCAACAGGACCTAAACCCCTAAATGGATCAGTTGTGCATGTTAGAAACAACGGGTGTTCTAAAGTATGCTGAAGGTGATGAAAATACTAACTTTATATAACTGATCTCTATAGAAAGCTTAATCATCAACCCAGGACACTCTCAGAACTGCTAGGTAAGCACACTAGCTGCATTTCATTTCTAACATGATTTTAATCTGTTCACATTAGAAGGTGCAAACCATACCATGAATTTTCAGTTTCAGATCAATAGTTTGGGCTAGACAGTGGAACCAGCTTATGTACAACTACAAGAAAACTGCCTGATTCCTTTTCTCAGAAAAGGGCTTATCAGGATGCGGTGCAGTGGCTGAAGTAGTAAGTTAACTCTTTCACAAGATATACCTCGTATACCATGTACTGGATTAGAAACTAAACTTAAACTAATCAACCTGAGAACATTTGGTAATACAGCATTCTTGATTTTTTAAAAACAAACAGTTACCATTTCCATAACTCAGTAGTTAGCAGTAAGACCCCTAGTCACCAGACTGAATTAGTAATGGTCTAACTGCACAGCCTAGGTGCCTCTGATGCGAATAGCTGTTTGGTTGACTGCCGTTTGAAAGGGAAAATGGTGTCATTGCTCATTGGCTTTACAAACTTGCTTCCTCTTCCAATGCTCTCCCCTGGCACGAGGGAATACACCGGACATAGAGGTTGTGTCATTTTTCTATTTTGAAAAAAACCACGCCACGTTCTAGGGTAGATTACGGAGCATTTCCCGCTCTCCTTCTTGCATTGTTACCCCATTAGCTAACCCTGACTAAAACTGTACGAGCAGAAACCACCTCCTTCTGCGGGCTTTCCCTAAGACGTCTAGAAGCCACGGGGGCAACCCCCGCCCCCGAAGCTGCCTGTTTAGCCCTACTCCCTACACAGCCGGCTCGCTGCTCACACCACACGCCCCCGGAGGTGCCAGGTGCCAGCCAGCCCAGCCCCGGGCGGTGTCAGAACCCGGCCAAAGGAGGAGGATTCGGGGACTCAGATCTCCGGGCCGGGCTCTCTGGAAGTTTCTGGCTGGCGCGGATCACGCGGGGCTGGCACCGGTTCCGCCCGCCGCTGCCCCGGCCCGCTCCGGGGGGCCCGATCCCGCCCGCAAGAGGCGCGGGGGAGGGGCAGGGCCATAGGCGACCCTCCGCCCAGCCCCGGGCCCCGCCCGCCCCGCGGCTGAGGGATCCGGCGCGGAGCTGCCGCATCCCCCGGAGCCCCCCGCGGCCTCTCACCGATGCCGGGCGCCACATAGACGAAGTAGAGGAAGGAGGAGGAGAGCGAGAAGAGGAAGAGCACGGCCACCAGCGAGCGTCGGGGCAGCAGCCGCCAGGCCCCGCGGGGCCCCCGGATCAACCGCATGGCCCCCGGTCCGATCCGCCTGCCCGAGCCCGGGGCCGCTCACAGGCGGGGAGGGGGCGGCTCCGCGCTCTACGGCCGATCCGCCGCCGCCAGCTCCCAGCCCCGCCGCATGAATGAGGAGCCGACTGCGCTCCCCCCGCGGAACGGCACCGGCGCGCGGGGCGGGCGGGGCCCGAGGGGAGGCGGCGGAGCGCAGGGACCGTCTGCAAACTCCGCTCCGGCCACACTGCAGAATAGGGACCCGCCACAACTTCCCCTCCGCCCACACTGCAGAACAGACACACGCCACAAGCTCCCCTCAGCCTACACTGCAGAATGAATAGGGATCATCTGCGAAGTCCTTTCCACAGACACTGCAGTACTGGGAACCATTTGCAAACACCCCTTGTTTCATATTGAAACACCCAGCGGGTGTCCACAAACGAATCTCAGTTTACACTGCAGAACTCAGGGACTCCCTGAAAACACCCTTCTACTCACAACAAGGGGAGTATCTCTTTGCAGCACTTATCACTAATCTACAGGGGCATCTGCTAAGTGCCCTCCACTCTCACTCCAGCATCCAGAGAGCCTCTATAAAGTTCCCCCCACTCTTGCTTCAGCTCCTAGAGAGAGTCTACACATTACCCTATGCTCACACTACAGCACTCAGGAATTATCTGCAATTTACCCACCCCTCCCAGTCCTACTGCAGTACCCAGGTATCATCTGTCAATTCTCTTCTGTCCCCGCTCACATTACAATACCCAGAGAGCCTCTGAACAGTATCCTCCTCTTCTCCCCCTCGCATTTCAGCATGCACATGTGTCTGCTCCTCTTGGGTTTACGCCCATGGGATGTCTACAAACATCTACAAACTACCCTTCTCTCCCACTCTACACTGGCTGAAAATTATCCTCTCGCACTGCAGCATCTTCAAATTACCCTTCAGTTCTACTCACACTACAGAAGTGTGCTCTTTGCCTTCCTATTACATTGGTTAGTGTATACATGAAAATTAATCCAGAATAAAGCAGGATGTGAATTTAAAGCAAATTAACTATTAGCTATTCCTGATTATCTCCTTTCACTGTCCGGTCAGGGTCCCGGGGTGCAATCCAGATCAGTGAGGGGTTGTGTCACCACTTGTCCGGCAACGCTGAGTGCCTTTACAGTGCTTTGCTGCTGGAGCTCCCAGCCTGGGACACTCACAATGAGTCTACAAGAATGCAGATCACACCCTGAGTTTCTGTGTGCTAGACAGCCCTGGTCCAGTAATTCTGACCCCAGCAGCCTGTCTACAGCCTCACTTTGGCTTCTACCAGTCTTGTTGGTAAAAACTAGCAAGATGGCCCCAACACGCTCTCAGTCATGAATTTCCCCAAAACCATGTGTTCTGAAGTGCCTAGCCCTCTCCTGAATAGCTCAAAGAAATAATAAGATTCATTACTCCTGTAAAGAGACAAAACTACATCACAGCTTATTAACTTAACTGGGGTAAATACACCCTTCCCTTTAAACACAGCACTGAGTTGGTTTATAGTAAAATAAAACAAACTTATTAACAATAAGACATAGCTGGAGACAGTGTTGCTACATAAAAGGAATAAAGTTAGAAAGGGTTACAAGCAAATAAAAATGAAAACACACATCTAAAAGTCTAAAACTTAATCTAGCAAGATAAAGGCTTTGTTCAAGATGGTTTCTCTCACCAGTCATTCTTCTTCCCAGCAATGGCTGACTTTCCCTCAGTCAGGACCTTCCACAAAGCAAATGGGGTTGGTTTCCCTTGTCTTTGCAGCTGAAAGATCTTTGCCTAAGCAAATTTCTCACCTATATTCAGTTCCAGAGAGTTCAGCTTCTCCCCTCCCCCTTTCTTTGAAGGATCCATATTTCTCAGCTTGTAAGAGCTCTGGCCTCTTCTGTCTGTCTAGTGATGGATGCCCAAGATGGCTTCTCTCCTTGCTTATAGTTCAGTGACTTTCTTTCAAGAGGCAGGATGAACTCATGCTGTTCTTCCCTTACTGTGAGCTTCCCATCCTGCTGTATGATTTCTGTGTAAATGGGGCTTCCATTGTTTCTCATTCCACCATGCTTAATTTACATAGGAGACAGGTAGATAGCTTTGACATTCCCACCTGTCCAGGCAGATTGTACAGCCTAATATCCATTGCTATACATAATTCCTTACATAGTGTTATTACATACATTTCACAATTATATTGATCACCAACGTGTCATTAGCTTTCAGAAAAGACCTCACTCCATACACCCTTATAATACAGTAACATTGTATACAGTCAGTTGATTCAGTTGCTTATCACTTGAGATTCAGATCCGCTATCTTTATAGACCAGTGAACCTTTGAAATGGATTCTTCTGAGAGTTACCCCTCAAAGTAAAGTTTATTCAAGCAGTGAGGAAGACAACATGGAGTCTGACGGTGAAGGAAGTTCCAGGCTCTTTTTTCCCCTATTTGTGTTTGCTGAAATGCAAATGTCATCTCCTCCCCCTGCTGTCTTGATGGTCTGTCTACTGCTTATGTGTTAACATGGACCTTCATTGTCTTTGTCTGAATATCGGGCTTGTCAGAAAATCAAATACACATTCCTTTGATAGACCTGTTTAACAACTCTCCTGACATAAACAAGGAGTCCGGTGGCACCTTAAAGACTAACAGATTTATTTGGGCATAAGCTTTTGTGGGTAAAAACCACTTCTTCAGATGCATGAAGTGAAAATTACAGATACAAGCATAAATATACTAGCACATGAAGAGAAGGGAGTTATCTTACAAGTGGAGAACCAGTGATGACAAGGCCAATTCAATCAGGGTGGATGTGGTCCACTCCCAATAATTGATGAGGAGGTGTCATCACTTTTTTACCAGGTCCAGAAGAGCCTGGGAAAGGTCAAAAGTGATACACTGTTGCCACCAATTTTCTAGCCTGCGTATATGTTTAATTGGGAGAGAAACAGCCAGCAGGAGCAGAAACAACAGCTGTAGTAGGGCTGGTCAGACACTGATGTTGTCACCAAAGCCCAGCTGCTTATTACAGATTTCACTCTGGACATTCTTTCCTTTCTGCTGATTGGCTATTTGTTTGAGCTCCCTCTTGCCCTAGCCTTCCCAGTCTATTCACTTCCCAGTCTATTCAGTCAACCCTGCCCTCCATGTTCCTCTTCTGCTCCCCTATTTCTTTAGCCCTTCTTCAATGTCCTCTCTCCTGCCCTTTGCCTGTGTGGTTAACTAATCCCACCTCTCCCCCCAACAAAACTCCATCCAACTAAGTAGAAAAAGAATGAAGCCAACCAACAAGAGCATGATGACACAAACACGATGTTTGCAAACCATCACACTGATTACCTGGCTTGTATGTTACACGCTGTCTAGTTCAGGGGCGGGCAAACTTTTTGGCCTGAGGGCCGTATCGGGTTTCGGAAATTGTATGGAGGGCCGGTTAGGGGAGGCTGTGCCTCCTCCAACAGCCAAGCGTGGCCCGACCCCTGCCCCCTATCCCCCCCCCCGCTTCTCGCCCCTTGATGCCCCCCCGGGACTCCTGCCCCATCCAACCCCCCGTTTCCTGATGGCCCCCCCGGGACCCCTGCACCCATTCAAACCCCCATTCGCCACCCTCTGACCGCCCCGCCCCCTATCCACACCCCCGCCCCCGACCACCACCCCAAACTTCCCTGCCCTCTATCCAACCCCCCCTTGCTCCCTGTCCCCTGACCGCCCCCAGAACCCCTGCCCCGCCGGCCCGTCACCCCATCCAAACCCCCTCCTTCCTGACTGCCCCTCGGGACCTTTGCCCCCATTCAACCCCCCTGTTCCCTGCCCTCTGACTGCCCCAACCCCTATCCACACCCCAAACTCCCCTTCCCTCTATCCAACCCCCCCTGCTCCCTGCCCCCTTACCATGCTGCCTGGAGCACCGGTGGCTGGCGGTGCTACAGCCACACTGCCCAGCTGGAGCCAGCCACGCCACCGCGCAGCTGCAGAGCACCGGGTCAGGCCGGGCTCGGCAGCTGTGCTGCTCAGCCCGGCCGCCCAGAGCATTGCGCCGGCGGCGCGGCGCGCTGAGGTTGCGGGGGAGGGGAAACAGCAGGGGTGGGGCTGGGGGCTAGCCTCCCGGGTCAGGAGCTCAGGGGCCGGGCAGGAGGGTCTCGCGGGCCGGATGTGGCCCGCGGGCCGTAGTTTGCCCACCTCTGGTCTAGTAGCTCTTTGGGGCAGTGACAGTCTCTCAGGGCTTGTCTACACTTAAAAAGTTTTACCAGAACAACTACGTTCGGTAGGGGTGTGATTTTTTGCCAGCATAGCTATGCTGGTAAAAGCCCTAGTGCAGATATATTTTTATACCAGTATAAAAGTGCCTTATACTGGTATAGCTTTTCTCATTTATGCTATGCCTACACTACAGACTTCTGCTGGCATAGCTGTGTTGATCCGGGGTGTGAAGAGGTGTGATCTCTAACTGACATAGCTGTGCTGGCAGAAGCCCCTGATGTAGATGTAGCTACATCAGCAAAGCTGTGCTTTTATGCCTGGTATAGCTTGTTTTGCTTATGTGGGGTAGTTTTACTACATGCAGTTTTGCAGTTTTAGGCAGGAATGCTTTGTCAGTATAGTATCCTGGTATTCCTATACCGGTCATTTGTTTCTAGTGCAGAGATGGCCTTCCTGAACCACAATAAACCATACTAGTATAAGCACTTTTATACCATATAACTGCATCCACACTAGGGGGTGGAATCTGGCACTTTAACTATATCGGTATTGTAAGAATAGCAAAACATTTAAGTGTAGGCAAGCCTTTATTCAGTCTCGATCTAAGGTGGAGTTCCTAGGAGTGACAGGAATACAAATAAGTAATAAATAAATAAAAATAACAGGAGTACTTGTGGCACCTTAGAGACTAACAAATTTATTAGAGCATAAGCTTTCGTGGGCTACAACCCACTTCACTAACAAATTTATTAGAGCATAAGCTTTCGTGGGCTACAACCCACGGGTTGTAGCCCACGAAAGCTTATGCTCTAATAAATTTGTTAGTCT